CTCTAACTGAGCCGCTCCGCGTATGCTTTGGCCTCGCCAGCAGCCCGCTGCCTGCGGACGTGTCTTTATTAAATTATTTTTTGTTGTCTTCGCAGTGGGAAATTTATAAACAAAAACTATCCACACAAATTTGTCAACAGTATAAGTAACTTTTGCTGCTGCTGCTGCTGCTGCTGCTGCTGATGCTGCTGGTGATGCTGCTGCTGCTGGTGCTGCTGCTGATGCTGCTCGTGTTGCTGCTGCTGGTGATGCTGATGCTGATGCTGATGCTGATGCTGCTGCTGCTGCTGGTGCTGCTGGTGCTGCTGCTGCTGCTGCTGCTGCTGCTGCTGCTGCTGATGCTGATGCTGATGCTGATGCTGATGCTGTTGATGATGATGATGCTGATGCTGTTGTTGTTGTTGGTGGTGGTGATGGTGTTGGTGGTGGTGGTGCTGCTGCTGGTGCTGGTGCTGCTGTTGGTGCTGCTGTTGGTTGTGTGTGCTGCTGCTGCTTTTGCTGCTACATCTGCTGCTGCTGCTGCTGCTGGTGCTGCTGCTGCTGCTGTTCCTGCTCCTGTTGCTGCTGTTACTGCTTCTCTGCTGCTGCTGCTGCTGCTGCTGTTGCTGCTGTTGCTGCTGTTGCTGCTGCTGCTGCTGCCGCTGCTGCTGTTCAGGTTTGAGCGGGACAGAAGAAATCGGCAAATCCGCGATTGGGAATTTCCACCAAAGGCAAACCCTAAACCCTAAACCCTAAACCCTAAACCCCAAACCCTAAATCCTAAACCCTAAAACCTAAACCCTAGATCCTATCGAATAACTCCCACCCCGTAAACCCCATTCACAAAACCCTAAACCCTAAACCCTAAACCCTCACCGTCCATCTAACTGCCCCCGCTCCCTGCAACCCCTAAACCCTAAACGCTAGCCCCAAAACCCTCAACCCTAAACTCTAGCCGCTAAACCCTAAACCCTAAACCCTAGCCCCTAAACCCTAAACCCCAAACCCTAGCCCCTAAACCCTAAACCCTAGCCCCTAAACCCTAAACCCCAAACCCTAAACCCTAAACCCTAAAGCCTACCCCCTAATCGCTAAACCCCAAACCCTAGCCCGTAAACCCTAAACCCTAAACCCTAAACCCTAAACCCTAAACCCTGTGTTTCAGGTACCTGAGCTGGACTTTGGGTGTGTAGTTGAGAGCCTGGCGATGCCTTTGTGCGGCCGCAATTCTCTCTCTTGGTGTACTGCTGCAGCAGCAGCAGAAAAAGAAGAAACAGAAGTTTTTCTCTCGCAGGCTCTTAATGATGTATCTAAACCCT